AGTGAATAAAGATTTTAAGCTTGGTAATGAAATGCGAAAGGTGAATTGATCAACATGACATGAATATGGGACAAAGAGGTGTTGTTACTGAAAATTTGACTTAATCTATCTCAATGCAGAGGTAAACTCTATCATTATCTCAACTCCACGTGTATCTCAGCGCACAGTGGAACATTTCAGCAACATTTTTTTGTACCTACCTGGTGTAGAAAGCTGTGCCACATCTGGAACAACTATCAACGTCCCAGTGAAGTCACACTTGTCTCCAGCTTGCGCTTGTTCGACTGCTTCGGCTCTTAGGATTATTTCCACGCTAAAAAAAAAATGATTATTAATAATAAACTTGGCAAGTTCATTTTGTTTCCTTCCAATTTAATAGCAAATTACAACAAGGCATACCAAAGCGGTATAATTAGGTATAAAACCACAAAATGTTATTGACGCTAATCAGGAACAACTGCATTGTTGATTCCACCATCATATTACTAAGAAATAAAATATACATATCAACAAACCTTCTGGGAATGCTTCCTCTGGGTAACTCTGCTTGTGTTTCTTGTATACGAACTTTTTGAAAATCCACATAGCGTGAGTTGTTGATGTCAAGCATAAATCTTGCCCTGTTTTGACAGACTGGGTTGCGGCACACTGTGGGCTGTCAAACATAACAAAAATGACAGATTTGGATTGTGATGGATTTCAACTAGAACTCAAAACTCATGATCAATATGATAAAACTCAACTTACTGTAAACCAAAACGAATCATGGTAGGTAAAATATAGAGTCTATGTTGTACAGTGTACTCAGTTCTTGAACATATGAAAAAGATTAACAGCATTCATGCATACCTGAGTATATTTAAATTGTTGTTCTACATCTTTGATGACTGTCTGACAGTCAAGACAGATAAATGTTCCGGTCACTAGCTCAGGATGTACAGGGTGTGTCCGCACAACTTGTCCACTTATTCTGAGTAAAGTACCGATCTTCTGACTGGTTAGCTCTCGAATCCTAGATTACAATCAAAGGAATATAAAGTAAAACAAGTTTCATACAAATCAGTCAGGGAAACATTTTTACTGCACTTTTACTGCACAAATATTACATCATAATTATCTCACTTGTGTCTTGTTGGAAGATCAGTAAAGCTGACATAAAACTCTTTTGTTGGTGGTACTTGGCCTCTGTCTCTTGCAAAGTTTCTTACAGCTCGGCACAGATATGGAAACACTCTGAAAGACAGCTCATTTGATTAGATAATTTGTAGCAAAATCCATGCAGACTCATGCAGTCAAATGCAGCGTTAATTGAGATCATATTTATTTCATAACTATTTTCAATCAAAAAACCTGCTTTAATTTGTTGTGAAATTATATCTCCTGCATATATATATTTCTTTTGCAATGCATTTCACACTTTACCATAAGAGCTTTTTCCATTACTTTCCAAGTTGCATTTGATAGTGGATAAAAACACTTTGGAGTCCATTTTCACTTTAATTTAATCATTTCTCACAGTATAACAAAATTCTGGAAGGCAATAGGTTCATCGCATGCTCTACTGGGTTCTGAACATTACGATGGTAACTATGTTTTCCCTGCAGTACAGGCACGATGCACACCTCCCCTACCTCCCCACCACCCCCTACACAGTCATCCCAAGTATTGCACTATGTGCCAAGCACTTTTTCATGTACTAGGATGAACAGGCTGGAGGATTTTGTCAATGACTTATTTGATATTTTACCTCATCTTATGACTATGGACTCCACATCGGTCGGTTTAAAACCATTATGATTGTATTCCTGGTCTGCAAAGTCCCAAAATAAATTTGTTACGTGGTTGTCCTGTGACCATCAGTGTTCTCACCTGTAATATTCCTCCTGTATAATTGTTGATAACTGAGCATTGTAGGACTCCACATCTTGATAACTGACAGTTAATGTGTTGCGCTCAGGTCTGATAAGTTCTTGAACTTCAGGAAGGTATTTCTCTTCTCCATCAACTTGAAATCTGCAAAAGATATTAATATACATGCATTAATAATGTTATTTGTTGGAGATAATAGTAATGACATTTAAGGACAAGGGACGCCCAAACGTTTGTATCGCAATGAAGTAAACCTTTTTGCACCATCACCAGCCAATACAAGCCTAGAGCTGACTGAAATATTCAAGCAGACATGTTTTAGAGCGACGAACAAACATAAACTTCATTATTGTACTACTTATTCCATTAAACTCTCCCATTGCACTCGAAAATAGAGAACCTTTCTTTTATCTTCCAATCTAGAGGCAAGCTTGATTCATTTAACACCTTCTACCCCAGTAGTCTAGATAATTTGTATTTTCCCGTTAAAGAAATTTAGAAGTTCATCTTCCTATTTTGAATAGAGAGAAGTGAATCATGGAGCTTGAAAAGCTGGGGGCATCCTTATTTCAAATTGACGAAAGAAAGAACATATTCAAGCGTATTTATACCCACAAGGAAAGCTAAGAACGTTCGATTTCCTAGAAACAGGCAAAACTTAATAAAAAATTTGCAGGTTTCAAACCATGTGCGGCTCGATCGGACAAATTATTCATGTTGAATGAAGTGTACAAGATTCGGCACATTTGCTGAAGAATGCATACATCTCTCGAACCAGTGAATCAAAATTGCACTTACTCTTCGAGAAAGTCTTGAAATAACTTTTGGCATCGCTCCGCGAGGTCATCGCGAACGTGGGAAGTTCCAGTAGTGCGATCAGCGACATCCATTTTCTTCGAGGTTCGCGGCGATCAGTTGTCTCACGTGAAGAAATTTGGCGCGAAAAGTTCGTAGCAACACGTTCCCGGATGAAGAGCAACGATGGGAGTCAGGGAGGGGAGGCTAGGCTCATCCTCCTGATTGGGAGAGGGGCTGGTAGGGGACTAGTCTCCTTTACAGCCGTTATTAGGGTCGCGTGACGACCCTAACAACGGCTGCGAAGGAGACTAGTAGGGGACATTCCCGAAATGTTCTTTTTAGTGTCAAAGAACCTTCATGCACAATGAAAACATGTTTATCGGTGGTAATAAGGAGCCATGTAGTCAAATGAAGAAGTCATGGTGGTACGTCTGGCAGACGCACTTTAGTTCACTGTACTCTGATGCCTGTGAATGAAGCGGTTGCCAGCAGTTCAGGTTCCACCCCTGGTCTCTTAGGGTGCGTTCCTTTAGGTTGACCTGGATCAGGATCAGTGATCCAAGATCACGCGGCTCATGGTGCATCAAAGGAACCGATGAATCCTCTCTGGATTCATCGGTTAATCACTCTGAATATTCACCAGACGCTCTTTGGGCTCGTCACGTGCGGGAGGAAGATTGCGTGACGAACCCAAAGAGCGTCTCGCGACTGCGTATGGAGGCATTAGGAAGCTTGCGAAACCAAGTCGATTAAAAAATGAATTTTTATATCACCTACGAATCTCGCCATACTCTTAACTCATTTACTTTGTTTATCACTGTCAGAACTATCGCAAAACTAAATCCGGAACACAGCGATAAATTTGAAATAATAAATTTAAAAAATTAGCCGTCGTGGTTCACGTTCTCCAGACAACGCAAAATTTGGTCATTTCACGTTGCTGTTTTGCAGAGAACAGCAAAGAAATGTACCAAGAATTATAACACACGTGCACAGCCATTGTACTGCTCAATAATTGTTCAGTGACGTTCCCGTTGCCGTTGCCGTCGTGGTTTCGTAAACTCCCTATTCTCGTCCCCAGAGCCTCCGTTTCTTTTGGTGACGGTAACCCTTTCACGGGTTTAACAATGCCTCTCTCTACCTGGGGGTGTAAATAGATACCATTTACGGGACGCCTAAGTTGATTATCAACTTGAAGTTCATAAAGCGAAATTAATTACTGCCACAGCAAATGTAGAAAAGCTGGCGAATTGAGCGTGAGTCCTTTGTTGAAGCACTCATGAAATGTTTCACTTGCGCGGTGACTCAGAATAACGTTTACTTTAGAACCTATCTTTTTGATATACCGGTTGGGACGCTGTTAGAAAACCGCACATTATGCTGGAACCTGCGAGGTATTTGCAATATTTCTTGCAGCGCTTAGCTTGGGATCCTGGATAAGGCTGATTGAAGGAACGCTCTGCATGACGGAAAAGACTTAATAATAAACAATTAGATTATGGGCTCGAGATTTATATGAGGTGATAGTTGATGAGATCAAAGGCCGAATAAAATGTCACCTCATTGAAATCTCGAGCTCATAATCTAATTGTTTTAGTAGAATTCTAACTGAAATTAACGCCAATAAAGGTTTCCAATTGTTTTTCTCACGTATTATTAAGCTTCGTGCTGTAACAAATTCGCACGCACTGAATTGTCATTGCAAATTTGCAGTTGTCTATGCGCACGCACCTGTTTTTTCAATAATTTCAAGTTTTTAAAGTCAAGAAACAGTTAATGTCCTTCTTTTAGTCTTCTTAGGAATTTAATTACCCGTTTGGATCTAAATGTTCCTCTAAAACTTCGGGAAAACGAAAAATCGTCGGCATTTCGTAGATGACCGAGGGCCACTGCACTCCAATGGCTGATATATTGTACGAGTAGCTCAGCCAATCAGATTGCAGCATTGCATTAGCATACTACAGTCGAACCCCACATGGTCCCTTACGAGAGCTTAGAGCATATTGAGTCAAAATTTTGCCTCATTACGGAACTTTGCGGAATAAGGTGCGAACGGCTTTTACTTTACTTTTACTTTTACTTTACGGAGTAAGGTACAAAAGCTACAAAATAGAGTAGCCCGTGTTTTGACCTACTCAAGCTATGACGTAGACGCTGGTCAACTGTTCAAACTTCTAAGGTGAAAAAATCTAGCTTGCCAGCAGCAAATTCAAAGAGCTACGATGGTTTACAGGTCTCTGCACGAGTTGGCTCCAAACTATCTCAGTTCTAAATTTGAAAGGCGAGAAATCGCATATGACCTAAGGGACTGAGAATAAACTCAATGTTCCATTACCACGCACAGACTATTACAAAAATAGCTTTAGCTATAGTGGCGCCATTCTCTGGAACAGTCTTCCTTGTAACTTAAGGGAAGCAGAGTCCCTTGGGCAATTCAAACGACTTCTCAAAGAAGAACTGTAAGGCACGGTATCCGTGGAAAGCATCTTTTTTATTTAATATTTCTCATTATATTAGTATTAGGTATTTTTAAAGCTGACGAATTTTGTACCGTGGATAAATAAAGATTATCTATCTATCTGTTAGCATATGTTTTATTCATGTGGAAAGTCAATTTCGAGAAAAAATCCTGTACTTCCCACTGGGAAATTTCCATCTACTGTACTAACCACGAATACGATTATGTAACAACACCTTATTATCCAATTTCCGCCGGCTCTATTATCTGTCAAGTGGTCGCTTAGGTAAGGTTGAAAAAAAGAAGAGAATTTCAAACTTTTAGGGCTAAAAGTGGTCGCGGTAGCTTACGAGAGGTGGTCGCTTACAAGAGGTTCCAAATATAGTGATTTGACTGGGAAACTTTTGGTATTTGAAAAACTGGTCGCTGAGGAGAGGTGGTCGCTTACAAGATGTGGTAGCAACCGAAGGAGAACCAGGGGAACGCACTGCGTAATCGCTCGTGGCGTCCTTGCGATACCCCTCAAAGGTCGATTTGAATTAAAGTAAACCTATATAAATTTATAGCTATGCACGAAGTTTGCCGTCCATGAAGTTATGTAAAGCATAACTCATTTGAAGTTTTGACATCTTGCGACAGCCAGCTTTTAAAACCTTTCACGCTTTCACGGTATATAAGAAGATTTTTTAATATCTTTTTGTCTGTTCATTGAACTGAAGTGTAAATTTACTTTTGTATGCTTTGAGGGCGGTCAATGGTACCGTGCCAAAAATTGAATAAGTGAAGTGCACGAACGTTGTATGCGCTTTATTCCGCTAAAAAAAAGCAAAATGCAATTTTGAGATCGATATATTGGACACACCGCTTTCCATAAAGTACCTTTATGAAAATCTCAAAACTATGCTATAATCATGATGGGACACTTACAACTCTCTATTTTATTGTTCCTTTAGACATTTTTTATTCGTCCTTGTTGAATGTATAATTTTTGGATTCTATGAATGAACGGTTTGATTAGATATGCAATAAAATTAATTTACATTCAAGCTTTTCATTTCCTGAGTGTTTTTCTTATACTCACAATGACACAAAAACTTCTACGGATTTCCGGCAATAGTTGTTAACTGGTTCAGCGTAACTAGCGCATAAGATCATCGTAACAATAAGAAATGATAATTGGTCCACGCAGTCGATCTTTATATTTTCATCTCAGAAATACTCTTCCTCAAGTAGCGGCAATCTTTCATTTCCTCGAATAACTTGTCGAGTTCCTTTTCTTCTTTCGTGATCACTTTCTTAGCTCCATTTTCTCGATAATGAATTTTCAAAAGTCTCGTGGCGACCAGGGCTGCCTTTCCAACGCGGCTGATATTCGCGCGTGTTTTAGCGAACTGGCTGGTTCGACGTCTTGAGGGAGCTTGTATTAAATGTGACTCTAAGGTTCTCGACTCTGCGCCAATACTGCGGCGAGTTAAGTTATTTTCCGTTGGGGGACGAGATTCCCATGAGCTTGTGTAAGTAAGTTTTCCCTTAACTCTTGGGGCGTCCTTGCCCGCAGTTAAATTTCCACCGGAATGTCTCCGTTCTCTCTGTGGATGAGTTTCTAAAAATTTCTCACCCTCCATTAATCTTTTCTCGTCATGCATTTGCTCAGCTGTGAAACTTTTCCGTCGATTTTCATAAGAAATCTTAGCCTCTTTAAGCTTTATCTGTAAATGATCATGATCAATAAAAATTCTTTCCGCAATCTTAGGAAGCTCTACCTCCGCCTTTTTCCGTTGTGGTGTTTTCTGACCAGATCTATCTACTCTACCAGATAGAGCCTCGCGATCGCTTCGGAAAGTCTCCGATGATTTTCTCTCCGATTTTATTTCGTGTCTATCTTCAGAAAGTTGTTTTTGTGGTTGGTCTGATAAAGATACATGCCTCCTTCTCTCCTTTTTAACTGGCAAATTAAGATCTTCGTTCAAGCTTTGCCAAGCTACCTTAACATGGACTGACACGTGTCTCTGGACAGCTGCCTTGGTCTTTACACTCGGCTTCGTCTCTTCAGCGATTCTGATGTCGCTGATTCGAGCTGGCATAGTGTTGCCCCTGGGTCGCGGACGAAATGTAAAAGCACTTTCTAACTCGGATGGCAGTCGCACAGAGGAATACTTTGATCCTTGGCTGAGATTGTTAAACGAAATTCTACGACTTCTCGTCCGCTTAGAGGTCGCGACATGTACAGTTGAATTTGATTCCCTTCCTGTCTCTTTGAAACCCTGTATCACACATTTGTACTCCTCTGAACATGGCGAAAGACTGCACTCTGATAAGCGTTTCAGCAGAGACTGTTTTTTCCCCTGGTAGCTGCGATCGGCCGCGCCTAAAAATCTCGATTGCGAGCTGTTATTAGTGATGGTTGTTTCTGGGGCTGCATATTGAATTAAATGTCTTTTGCCACGTTTTGCAGTCACGTCTCGTATTTGAAATCGCCGTGGATTAATTGTTGCAGATTTATTCTCTGCTTGCTCGGAAACCTCTTGCAGGCTCTTTGATCTTACTTTTTCCATTTGGCCTCGAACGGGAATAATCGCAAAAAGGTTTCTTTCAGTCTTGGTTGCAAATCATACGAGTTACGCTTTGCACGTATTGCGTTGAATCTTCATCGAGTGAATGAAATGGACATATAAAGCCCCTCAAAGTTCAATCCATTGTACCGGTAATGATATCTTTGTTTTTCTCGACAGAGAGTCAAACTCCTTTTATGCCAAGTCGCGCAGCTCTCTACGTGATCAGAGTAAGGGATGAAACTACAAAAGTCTACGCACAGATCTCAGTGTGTTTCTTTTCACAAATGAATAACCGGCATTATCTAATTTGCGTCTGCTAAGCCAAACCATTTTGCTAGTAAGCACTTGGACAAACACAATGGTGTTATATCCTTTGAAAGTCTGACATTTGCGATGAAGCCGAATTGAGAAGTTTACTCAGGCCTTAAAAAAATATCAGTGCTGATTAATCGGTAACTTTTTTGCGCGGCGAGCTTTTGTTTTAGTGATCATGAAAAGACTGTCGATATTAGATTCATGAGAATACATCGATTTATTTCGAAAGCTAATTTTAATTTGTCAGCTAGCAATATTTATGGGCCATTAAATACGACAAATCATATAAATAGATGAAAGGCAAATGCCGTCAGAATTGATGGTTACTAAGAGAAGGCGAGAAATAAACAAAATATTGTGCCCGAAGTTTGCTGAGCCGTCAAAGAATCTTTGTAAAACCGACAAGTACTGTTTTTTTAAGTTCAATCTATTTATATCAAGTTCAACAATAGTTAATGACCCGTGTTCTGTCGTTGAAATGGCCATTGAAGTCAT